CCTCCCTCCCTCCCTCCCTCCCTCTCTCTCTCTCTCTCTCTCTCTGGAGAGTCTCACTGTGTAACCATGGAACTTACTATGTAGACCAGCAGACACAGTGGACTGGGTGTGACCTTCAAAGGCTTGCCCTAGTGATCTATTTCCATCAAGTAGGCCCCTCCTCCTAAAGGCTTCAGAGACCCTCAAAACAGCACTACTGGCTGGGCAACAAGTACTCACACCGTGAGCCTATGGAGGGAGCCCTAGAGCCAAACCTTAACAGCTGGCAAAGGGGAAAGGCAATGGGGGGAGCCCAAAGGACTTCCAGGAGTCACTTCCTAGTGCAGTGCAGGAAAATTGTGAGAACTCAAATGCTGCCCAGAGAAGGTACTGAGGACTCGGTACCCAAGACTTTTTATGGCGGTTGATGATATATGTGCCCTTTACCTGCCAGGGTCCAGTTTCCTGTCTCCAAGAAGGGAAGCAGGTCTTTTTCATAACCACTCAGTTCAAGAACAGTTTAGACCCAATGAGCCGCTCTTACCAGCTAAGTGTCTGTCTTAGTCAGGGTTTCCATTGCTATGAAAAGACAACGTGACCACTTTTATAAAGGGAAACATTTTATGGGAATGGCTTAAAGTTCAGAGGTTTAGTCCATTCTCATCATGGTGGGATATGGGGCATGCATGCAGACACAGTATTGGAGAAGAAATAGAGTTCTACATCTTGATCCACAGGCAACAGGAAGTGAACTGTGTACCACACTGAGCATAGCTTGAGTAAGAAGACCTCAAAGCCCACCCCCATGATGACACACTTCCTCTAGCAAGGCCACCCCTACTCCAGCAAAGCCACACCTCCTAATAGTGCCACTCCCTTTGGGGGCCATTTTCTGTTGAGCCACCATATTGCACTCCCAGGCCCCCAAAGGCTTGACGGCATGTCATAATGCAAAAAAATGCATTCAGTTCAACTTCAAAAGTCCTCATAGTCTATCACAGTCTCAAACTTATTTAAAAGTCTAATTTATGCAATCTCTTAACTGTAACCCCCTATAAAATAAAAATAAACACAGATCACATACTTCTAACATACAATGACACAGGATATACATTACCATTCCAAAACAAAGGGAAGGAAGCATAGTGAGGAAATATTGGACCAAAGCAAGACCAAAAACCAGCTACAAACTCTACATCTCCATGTCTGATGTCAAAGCCCTCTTCAGATCTCCAACTCCTTTCAGCTTTGTTGACTGCAGCACACTTCTTTCTCTTGGGCTGGTTACACTCCCTGTCAGCAACTTTCCTCAACAGGTATCCCACAACACTGGCATCTCCAACATCTTGGGGTCTCCAAGGCAATCTAGGCTTCAACTTCACAGTTTCACACAATGGCCCTCCATTCAGGGACACCTTTGATACATACCTGGCCTCAGAGATGGCTTTTCTTAGTCATGGAGGAAGATGCTATATCTACTTTCTTGACTCTAAAGCCAGATCCATGTGGCCAAAGCTGCCAAATTCTGCTGCTTGCCGGGGCTGGAACATGGCCCCCTTGTACAATTAGATCTTCACCAACTTTCTGTTTTCCATGGTTTCCTTCACTCCCTAAGCCTGGCTGTTCTGGAACTTGCTTTGTAGACCAGGCTGGCCTCAAACTCAGAGATCTGCCAGCCTCTGCCTTCTAAGTGCTGGGATTAAAGGTTTGTACCACCATACCCGGCTCTAAGTTTTTCTTTAATCCTTTTTCATAAATTGGAAATTTAGCTGGATGGGATCTTGCCCCAAGATCATCACTATTCCCTTTATTACATTTCTTAATCTGTTTATCTCCTTAAATACAGACTTAGCTCCATTTCACTCCCTGGTACTTTTTTTTTCTCCTAAAATTGTGCATTTTGTATTTTTCCTTTCTCAGTTTGCTCCTTTTCATTAAAAATATTCATTAGCGTTAACACTAATAACCACAAGACAGAGTCAATACTAGGCTGTTTTGAGATGTCCTCTGCCAGTGGAATTAATTCAAATCTCTTCACTTTAGCCTCAGGCAGACTCTTTGGACATGGGTAAAAAGCAGCCACATTCTTCACCAAAATATCACAAGAATGATCTGTAGACAACATACTAAAATTCTTATCCTCTAAAACCTCTTGACCCAGGCCCCCGCAGTTCAAATCACCCTCAGTGCCACTGTCTTCCATGTTCCACTAGGATGGCCCATTAAGCAGCACTTACAGCATTCAAAGGTCCATATTCCTTCAAGCAAAAGCATGGTCAGACCTATCCACAGCAATACCCCAGTCCCTGGTGCCAACTTCTGTCTTAGGGGTTCTATTGCTATGAAGAGATGCCATGACCACGGCAACTCTTATAAAGGAAAACATTTAATTGGGGTGGCCTACAATTCCAGAGGTTTGGTCCATTGTCCTCATGGCAGTAAGCATGGTGGTATACAAGTAGACATGCTGCTGGAGACGGAACTGAGAGTTCTACATTTGATCCCAGACATCAGGAAGTGAACTACATACCACACTGAGCGTAGCTTGAGCCAGGGAGACCTCAAAGCCCACCCCCACAGTGACACACTTCCTCCAACAAGGCCACATCTATTCCAACAAAGCCACACCTCCCAATAGTGCCACTCCCTTTTGGAGCCATTTTCTTCCATACCACCACAGCTTTCCTGAATTCCTAAAGTCCAGGCAAGGACCAGCCTTGTGAGCAGACCTGACAGACAGGAACGGGCCTGCTGTGTTAAATTCTCTATACTCCAGTTCATCTCAAATAGCAGCCCCTCCCTCACATCCACCCCTCCCTCACATCCACCCCTCCCTCACATCCACCCCTCCCTCACATCCACCCCTCCCTCACATCCACCCCTCCCTCACATCCACCCCTCCTTCATCTTCCCTTTCCATTGTCAGTCTCTCTCTGATGTGTCACACATGGCTGTTCCCTGTCTCTCCCTTCACTGAGGAGGACTTGAGGACACAGCTGTCACTTGGGTGGTATCCAGGCTCGGGACGTGGGTAAGGCAAGAGAAGTCTAAGATGGAGACCTCATGTGCACGCTCACTTAGGCCTGGCTCTCTGTGTGTCCCCAGCATATGGAAAAGTACCCACTGCAGCATGACTGAATAGAGAATAGGAATAATTGTGGGTTATGGCAGGTGATCCTGGGAATAGACATCTGAGTCTAAAAGAATGGTGAAGTATTCCTTTCGTCTCTCTCTCTACCACTTATATTGGTGTTTTATGGTAAAATCCAGATGTAGTGATGTTCTACTGAGTGAGTGTAAAATGTCCCTGCAGGCTCGTGTATTTGAAGGTCTTTGGGGGCTTTGTCCTTCTGCGTTTTCCTTTGGCCAGCCGTTAGGGTTTGCATCTGGATGTCCTCTGCAGGCTCACGGTTGGAGGGCTTGGGCCCTGTTGATGGTGATGTTTCGGATGGCTGTAAAACCTGTGGGACCTAGCTAGCAGAAATGGGTGGCTGGAGGTGGGTCTTGAATTCAATAGCCCCTTGGGTTCTGGCCTTAGCTCTCTGCTCTGTGATCTGCCAAGATGTGAGGAAGCCACACTGCGTGTTTCTGCCACTGTGGACTGAGAAGTTCCAGCTACCATGCCTTCCTGTCGTGATGTATCCTCAGAAACGGGGAGCCAAAGCACCACCCCCAAATGTACCTAGGTTGCTTCTCATGGGTATTATATCGCAAGAAAACTATATAAGTATCCTAGAAGGACTGAAAAAAGTAAAAGTAGATAAATTGTGAGGATACTAGGTTTGGTTTGGTTTGTCTTACTATACATGTACATATTCTTTTATTCCTTTTGCTGTGCTTTGTATTTGTCCTGAACAGATTTTAAAAGATAAAAAAGATGCAAAGATCCGGGAACTTGAAGCCAGAATGAGTGACCTAGAACTGGAAAAGGTGAAGCTGGTCAATGCAGGCTCAGAGCGGCTCCGGGCAGTGAAGGACATCCGACAAGAGAGAGATCAGCTCTTGAACGAGGTGAAGACCAGCAGGACTGAACTAAACAGTCTCTCAGGTGCGTCCCTTCAGTTTGCGCTCTAGTAAATGCTGGGGAGTCCAGCACGGGCACCCACACGGGTAAGGAAGAAGAGTGTCTAATCTTACACGACAAATGCAGATAGCCACGCTGCTCCAGTCATGTGCAGTCTCACAGTCCTCCATGAAGAGCTTCTACGTCTTGGTTTTACTAACCATTATTTACTCAATCCTTAGTTTCAAGAGTAGGGTGAGGTATCCAGACTCCAGGCCTCCTGAGGTGTTCAGCAGAAATCATGGTGATTGTACAGTTTTGCTTTTGTGGAAATGGGAATCGTGCATCCTTTGAGTCAAATTATTTGATTAAAGGTTTAATAAACTGACACGTATAAACAGAATGATGCGAAACTCCCGAAAGGAGAAGTCCCTATGATGAGGACTTGAACAGAGGCGGGGCAGCCGGAATGGAAGAGGAGCAAAGAATTAAGATTACCTGGGTGGTAGTTGGTGGTACACACCTTTAATTCCAGCACTCAGGAGGAAGAGGCATGGATCTTTGTGAGTTCAAGGCCAGCCTGGTCTATACAGTGAGTTCCAGGACATCCCAGAGTTATATAGTGAGATCCTTCTCAAAACAAACAAAAAACATGCACACCTCCACTTCCCCACCCCACACAAGACAAAGGGGTTGCATCAGTAGAACTTAGTGACTGGAGCCTTTCTTCTAGGTTTTTACTTTGTGGGACTGAGAAACAATAGCAACAAGAAACGAGGGAACTAGGGAAGAGGCAGGCGTGGGAGCAAAGAGTGAGGCAGAAGCAGTCGGTATGAGGCAGCACTTGGGATCTGTGGAGCTGGAGTTTGGTGTGTAAATCTGTGTCATAGCCGAGTGTGATGCACTTGGGATCTGTGGAGTTGGAGTTTGGTGTGTAAATCTGTGTCATAGCTGAGTGTGATGCACTTGGGATCTGTGGAGTTGGAG